AGGTCTTTAGGTTAACATTTTCCATTGCAGCAACTGATATAACTGTATGTACCTCAGATTTTATTGCAACCTACCTAGGTAGGTACCTACCTACCTATGTAGGTAGGTACGCCGAACTTACCACTAGGTATACATGTCTCCTTTCTATAAAAAGAATATCATACCGTTTTGTTGGTTGTTATAACAAAATGAATGACACCGTTGCAACATGATTATATAACAACGGCATTTATAATATAACAGCGCATGGCTTGAAAAAGCTATGTAGAACTGAAGTAGTCCGGTCAGCACACTATTTATTAGACTAGGTAGCCCTTCAGTCCAAGGATAGAATACAATTCAGGTTTCCGGCAAAATGTTAAACCGATGTCCCTACGCTTACCTAATTATTCATGCTTACATTGAGAATGAGGACCATAGAATAGGGCATTAGCTTACATCCCCGCTTTGGCTGTCGCCAAGGTACGCATTTATAGTAGCAATAGCTCGAATACTTTAACAGACCAACACAATCATGAGTGCGTCTAACAAGATGAATGTTGCCCTGCTTCAGGATGAAGACATACCAACATGTTTCAAGATCATATCTGACAGCTTTGGCCATAATGCCCCATTTGTGGATAACTACTTTCCAAACCACGATACCGTATCCGGCCAAGTCCAAGGCTCCAACCGCCTGGCGGCATGGAAGCACCATGCGCACGGCGCCTCCTTTTTCCTCAAAGCCGTCACGTCTATTGACGATAACGGGGTTAAGAAGGAGCTCATCATCGGTATGGCTGTCTGGACGACCATGAGGGATATTCCACCTCAGAAGCTTGAAGAGGCCGTAAAAAACGTGGAAGAGATCTGGCCAGACCTGAGTGATCGTAGGTTCACTGCTAGTCTCTGGGAAGACTACGTAAAACCACGGACACAAGCTGTGAGAGCATCTGGCGGAAAGGGCGTGCTTGGTAAGCAGCCATCGTTTCCAGTCACCCACCTCCAATTACATAATAACTCATCAACTCCACCTCTTAGTTCTCGAATTGCTTGCTGTTCTCCCTGGCTATCAACACTTAGGCGCAGGCACGGCGCTTGTTAAATGGGGAAACATTCTTTCGGACGTAGTTAAAATGAGGGCGGTTGTTGAAGCTACACCGGTGGGGAGACGTGTGTACGAGAAAAGTGGTTTTCGTGCGGAAATCGAGGAGATGCGGTTTGACCCCGGCGAGGAGTTTGCCGAGAGGACCAAGCCGAAGCTGATATTCATGACGCGAGAACCAGCATCGTAATTGGTAGCACGCACCATACTGTTGACCTCCCATCAGGAGGAATTGCTGTATCTTTTGGCAACAGGAGATACTAAGTATCTTACCTTGGTATGTATGTTTGACGAGAATTGGCCTTTTTTTCTAGCAACAGAAGACCTGTTTAGTAAAAGACAAAAACCCAGATTGAATTATAATATTATCTCGTTATATTTAAGTACTATTCCTTAGACCAAACCCAGTGGCATGAATTTGTGATTAGCCCACCTGTAAATACACTACTCCACCGAGTTGGCAAACAACCGTTTGACAAGTGCTCAATATCGCGGTGCTTATTGACTTTTTACGTATAGTTACTGGTTTATATATCAGACATCGTTGTGTAACTATAGCCTTTTAATAGGTTTTGCTTCTATTGGGTATGCCGTTACATTACCTTCAAGTCCTCGGTTAACATCGGATAGTGACTACACAAGTATGAAGTAATTATGGCTAGCTATTGTGAAAGGTATATTATAATACTAGGAACTATTTAGGTTAGTACTTAACATATATACTAAATATCTACAAGATACAACAACTATTGCCTCAGCTTTGGGTTCCTTCCTTTCTTTCTTCTCTTGCCAATAAAGCAAACTACCTCCTTCCCTACACCCCATGACCATTCCAACTCTTTCTGTGCCCACTTTCTAAAGTACCATGATCTAGTAAGATATAAACTCGCGGTACGAGGTTTGTTGTACTACTTGTATTTTGTGTATGTTTATTAGCTATTGGCCAATTGTGCAGGGACTGAGCGATAAATACATAGTAGTTCAGAGGGTTGTTGAGCCAGGTGCATGATAGATACTTGAGATATAAATGCATTCTTGCCCGATAGAGTTAAGAGTATTAAGGAGTTATATAATAGTTCTCCATTATTCTCCTTAAGGAAAGTTTTTAATAGTTCCAGCAACGCGTCTCGGACAATAAATGTTAAGACGCGTTACTGATTAAAGTAGAAATAGTGAATAGAGGTATTAATAAAGGTATCAGTGAATGGAGCAAGCAAACAAGCCTAGCATAACAGTAAGGCGCTTAAGGAAACTACCAGATACAGCTCTACCTCGACAGTAACCAAAGTACTTCGCGCACTTCTAATGCTATATATTTCCCATCTACCCTTCCAACTACTTGTCTCTTCTTCTCACGCCTACCTATCCTATGCCATACTCTCTACAAACACTTCCCTCTTCTACTTTACCGAACACTTGTTTAATCCAGTTCATAGTAGTACTAACTTTAGTGTACTATTTACTCCCCTTCTACATTAATTCCGTTTAACCATAGTTGCCCACTTAGCGAATTATCAACAGTTTACCTAAGTCCGCACATGCCCAAAGGCTTCGTGGTTTACCTGTTACACATCACCTTTCTCCGATCTATACTAAGTGAACACCGTCGGGCGTGTATCCAAGCCGACTCTTAAGCTAACCAGTCCCCTCTATCTGCGACCTCCTCGCCTCGACTCTCGAATTGGCACGACATGTGTATTTCTCTATAATATACAGTCGCTCAAGGTAAGCACTATAACATACTTAGACCCACGGCATGTCTATGAAGATGTCTATAGACAACCCGTATGCCTAAGTGACTTAGATGAGACAACACAGCTGATACATTGGTATAGATACAAATACCTACAGTGATGGACATACGGCTTTTGAGACGTATATGGGGTGTTGACCAGGACGATGAATTGCCGAGACGTATGAAATTTTACACGCAAATATTTTAACAATGTTGCTAACGCATTAAAGACAACAACGAACATGCTGTGAACTCGACCGGCGTTCTCGTGAACCCTAGGGTATGGGGGGGTGTAGGTCTAGCCTACGGCTCAGGGTTGGAGTTACATAGGAGCACCCTCGAACTCGCTGCCCAACTCAGTCCAAACATTACTTCCAACGCAAATCCCACAAGTGATGTTTCTATTCCAACTGCCGAAGAGTCCATCCTGTCAGACTTAACAAATACCCCTGCTTCAATCATGACTAATGTGACTATCCCCGATATCTACGGTAGCATCTACTCCCCCGTCACAGTCACTAAGGCACAAAGCGAGGACTTTCCAGTTGCAACTGTCCACGAAAATACAGTGGAAGACTTTCAAGCCAGCAATTCGAACAGGGATATCATCCCACGCTTCACGGGACAAGATACCTATACAATGCAGCAGGGCTTTGAAGCCGGATCTATGCCCGCAGTTTCAACTGGCTACGAGAGTCTCATAGGAGGCTTTCAGGGGCTCACTATGAACAGTGGTATCATCCCACAATTCATGATGCCGGGTACCCTTACCCAAGTACAGAATTTCGAAGCAGGACCTATGTCAGGGCGTTCCAACTACCAAGGGAACCCAACCTTGGCGCTCAACAAGCCGGCCCCCATCGATTTCACGCAGAACGTGCGATTCTGGGTCACAGGCCTTCCCCCGAAAATCACGACCAGCGAGCTCCTCGGCGCGATCCGCGGCGTCGGCTGCATCTTCGCCACGAACATGGTCAAGCCCCAAGAGCCCGTAGACGAGTACGACAAGCGACGCCGGGTGCGCACGGCCGCCGCCTCCATCACGTTCTTCAGCGTGGAGGCAGGCAAGGCCTTCATGAAGAAGACGCTGCAGTTCGGCGAGCACAAGGCGCTGATCCGGTACAACCGCGTCCTGACGGCCCCGATGCCGCGCGACGGGCGCTCGCGCGTCATCATCGTCGACGGCCACCCGGACATCGTGAACCCCGAGTACCTGACGTGGCTCGTGGACTCGTGGGGCATCCACTACATCACCGACAGCATGGTGTACACGACCATCGGCGAGACCAAGGCGCGGGTGTTCTGGGCCTTTGGGAGCTTTCGGGCACAGGCGCACGCGGTGTACTTGAGGCTCCGCACGGAGTTCAATGGGAGGGTTTATGTGCGGTATGGCATCGACCCTTGTGCGGCGTTCGAGAGGAAGACGCCTCGCAGCACGCGATTTGTGATGCCTTGATGAATATTCAAGTTTTTAAGTTTGGAGCGCTGTTGGTGTAGGTAGAGATGAGCTAAAAGGCGAAGACCACTCAGCGCTGTTAGGAATCGAACCTAACCCCGATTAGTAGTCACATCATCGACACTGCACAGCTGGTAGATCTGCAACAGATTCGTTGATAGCTTTATCTATACATTCGTTGTTTTCTTTGGTACCGTTTTCTTTGGTACATTTATACAATATCACACATAGATAACTGTGATATAATGGACACTCTGTTAAGTGTCTACGTAAAGTAAACTAGGGCTGATCCATGATCTCTAAAGACGGGAGAATAGAGAATGAAACCCCTATTTATCCTAATTATGGAGTCATCTAGTGTTTGCCATAGCATAAAGACAAATAAGTTTGTAGAATTGTAGAGTATAACCATTCTGTAGTTGAGAGAACTAGAAACACCAAACTTATGCACAATCTTGAGATTTCCTCACTGTGAATCGCCTCTACCTAAACGTCGGTATGTCGGGGACCAACAGCCGCAGTAGCATATTGGTTTCCTTGAACCCTCAGTAACAGAGACCTAGATTGTTACTTAATACAGCACATCTCCTATCCTCCTATCTTATCGTCGTACTGGCCTCCCTTCTCCTCTCTTCTTGACCTTGCTATCTAGACATCAAACTGGCCTGTTTGGCGTCACCTCATAGCACTGTCCGGTTCGGCGGCCAGACGTCAGCCAATCAAAGGGTTCAATAGTGTAGTGGTTATCACGTGAGTCTCACACACTCAAGGTCCCCGGTTCGAAACCGGGTTGAACCATAGGTTAACTTTTGCTTTGTCTGCCCTTTTTTAATAATTTGTTGCTGGATTGTTCAAGCTATGCTGGGATAGGTGAGTGTGAGTGTGGGGAGAGAGGCGGGGGGGCCGGTATGCTTATAAGCACAGTTGTACCTACTTCTTCTACCGAAAACTTGTAAGCCTTGAGAAAGATAGCTAGCTATACGTTGAGATCAGACATAAAGCTTCAAGATGCAATGCAGCTCTAGTTCTGTTGCCCCTATTTTGGTGGGTTGGTGTTGCTGAAGCACGCCAACGACGACGGGTCTCGAGGGAGAGCCAAGCCTGTAATTAGGGGTCTGATGACGTATCTCGAGTCTCACAGCATGTGTATTATCAAATCACAACATGACTGAGCACTGGTGGTGGTGTTTTTTGGAAGTGTATGCATAGCGCATGATAGATATGACATCAAGATCGAGATCTATTTAAATGGTTGGCATAAGTCTGGTAGATGTAGCGTCATGGCACAATGAAGTTTGTGTAGCAGGTGGGAGAGGATGAATATATAAAAGGAGCTCGCGGGAGCGTAACATCTTGTAATCTGTTCCAGTAAATATAAATCATTTGGAACCCAGTCACCTTGCTAGAAGAAATTTCTTGAGATTACTCAATTATTTATCCCACAAGCAGTAAAGTAAACTGCCTCAATCTCTACTCCAAATTCTGCACCATGGACTCCGCAGGCGCAAAGTCGGCCGTCTCCCGAGACATGCAAGAGGTTACTCAAGGGAGAGAGGACATTTCGCATAAAGTGCAAGGACATAAAGCAAACTTGGCGAACCCGAGTAAGTACAAGTAATAAGTTTTATCAATAAACAAGAAAAAGGCTCGGCTGACATCGAATTTCGAAAGACACAAGCGAGAAGTCGAAGGAGAACAGTCGTCAAGCTATCGATAGCCTGGGAGGCGACGCTGCACACTACGGTGGCGAGGACCAGCCGCGTTCGAAAACGGCAGCTGAAGCTATAGATGGTAGTCGTGCGATGTTACACTGAGGTCGTTTGTCGCCTCTGGGGAAATTTTTCTAGTCAGATTTCTCAGCTCTGGGAATTAAGTCGTACAACCCGAAGATTGATTTGACCACGTCGTGAACTTCCACATCGCTGTCGTATTTTGTATTGGTAGATAGCTTAGAATTTCCTCTTTGGGCGCTGAAATCGGTAACCAAGTCTTAACGATGGAATGCTATTGCGTTAAAGAGGAGAATCTGAGGAGAATTCAAGATAAATCCTCTTTTCTGCATAGAGGATAAGGTTGCCCGCGTAAGGTTGCCATAGGTTAATTCTGTGTATCTGCATGGTTCTGCCTGCAAAAGCGAATAACTGTACGATATTCCCTGAAAAGTGACCTGTCGGGGCTATAATTAGCATGCCGACCTTGCTGTATGTGCTGGGGTAGAGGTCACATTACCTAGGTAAGTCTACCTCTGCAATCAGTGCACATTCGCCGCTACAGCACACACGCGCTACTACGTTAGCTCCTCGAGCTGAAAACATGGGTACTAAATACAGGATCTCAATACCTAATGCTTGCTCGCTCACGATCACGTCTTCACCTTCATCTTTTGCTTTCACAAAAACCTCGATCAAATCCCTTTCCATGATGTGCTCAGGGTATAGTTTTTTCTACTTTGTGATGCCTGACTGAAGTGCGGTTTAGTGCACTGCATTTGCAAGTCTGCCAAGGCAGCCATCTACAGTTGCCCACAGGGCTTACTGTCTTATAATTCAATTTGGTAACTACGCTGACACTACTAGGGCCCACCTTTTTCTTCCACTTTTTTTCTTAAATCAAATTTGCAACTTAATCTTTTATAATTATTTTTTTAATTTAGCAATAATTTATTTAAACTTTTATACAAATTAATATATATATAGTTAATTTAATTATATTTTAAAATAACTATATAGATTAAATATAGTTTTTTTAAATTAAATTTATTATATATAATTTATAAATATGCTAGTTTTATATAGTTTATATACTTTATTTTTTTATTAATTTTATTTTATTTATTATAATTGTTATAGTTGTTATATAATTTTATATAAATAAATTTTATTTTTATATTTTTAATAATATTAAAAATAACTGCAAATATTTTTAAATATTTTAGTTTGTTTTAAACTATATAAACTTTTTTTAATTTATTAATAAATATATTTATTAGCTATAACTATATTTTATACTAATAAATATTATTTTTATATTTTTAATAGTATTAATTTTAATTATAAATATTTTTAGCTATTTTAGTTAACTTTATATTATATAAATATATTTTAATTTGTTAATAAATATATTTATTAGTTATAATTATATTTTATAGTAATAAATATTGTTTTTATATTTTTAGCAATATTAATTTTAATTATAAATATTTTTAATTATTTTAGCTAACTTTATATTATATAAGTATATTTTAATTTGTTAATAAATATATTAAATAGTAGCAATAATATTTTATATTAATAAATATTGTTTTTATATTTTTAGCAGTATTAATTTTAATAGTTGACTTTTTAAAAAATTTAAAACTTTTTTATATTATATAAGTTTATTTTAATTTATTAATAAATATGTTTTATAATAGTTATAATATATTATATTAATAAATATTGTTTTAATATTTTTAAAAATATTATTTTTAATTGTTAATAGTTTTAAAAATTTAAAAGTGCTTTAAAAAATATTAATATGATCTAATTAAATAATATATATATTTTTATTAAAGTTAAAAAATCTAATTAGTATATTTTTTAATTAAAATTTTTAAAAATAAATCTATATTATTAATAAAAATATAAATTTATATAAATATATTATTTATATTATAATTGCAGTAATATTACTATATAATATTTCGATTATTTTGCTAATATATTATATAATAAAATATTTAAAAAATTAAAACATAATTAATTAAAATAGAAGTAGTATTATTAAGTAGTATATTTTATTTTTTAATTTTTAATATATTGTTTTTTTTTTGCTATATAAAATTGCGATAATTTTAATTATATTGTACAAAATATATAAGCAGTTTATTAAAATTAAACTTAATTAAATATGTAGTTAATAGTATAGCATTATTAAAGTTTATAAAAGTATAAAAATATATAAAGTAATATTAAAATATATAATTAATTTAAATATTAGCTAATTAATATAGCTTTTTATTTATTAACTTGTTAGTATTTAAGCTATTTGTTTTTGCTTTTTATATTTTTCGACTTTTTTATATTTTGTAAAAATTTCTTTTTATATGCTTCTATTATACTTTGTTTTGTTTATTTTTTTTTTATTATTTATATATTGTTAATTTTTTATTTTAATTATTATTATATCTTTTTAATTATTTTTAAATTTTAAAGTTAACAATGTATTTTTATTTATTTTATTTGCTACATTTATATTAGTTGTTAATATTAAAAAACAAACTTTTTTTATTGTTAAGAAATTTTATTAATATATATATAACTAAGTTTACTGCTTTTTAAATAAAACTTCTATATAATTTTTCAATATATATTATATTATATTAAATTAATATAATTTGTTATAAATATTTATATACTATTACAATTTTAAACTTATTATATCAAACCGAAAATACTAAAAAGTTAAATATAAAAAAAATACTTAAAAATGTTGTACCGCTATTATATATTATTTATTTACTGAAAATATAACAAAAGAAATATATATATAATATATATATAGTAAATTTTTTAGCTTAAATAATAAATATATTATTTTTAATAACAACAAACTTAATAACATTTATATTAATTGCTTTTATTTTAATATTAGTTATAACTGTTTATTTTATATTAATAAATTATAACTTTAGTTAATTAAATATAAAAAAACAACTGCTAATTTATATTAACTTAAAAAAAAAAAAATAAATAGTTGCAAAAAAAGCTTGGAAATTTTTTGAAAAATTTATAAAAAAAATCTTTAATTAAACATTTATTAAAAAGTTAAAAAATTAGCAGTTTATATTTAAACAAACTATTTATAATAAAACTTCAGCTAAATTGTTTTGTAAAAAATAACATATATAAATAATAACATTATAAATAAAAAATAAATAAATAAAAAATAAAAAATATTTATATAATAATATTATATTATATAATATTATAATAAAACATTAAGCTTTATTATATATATAAAGTTTGGTATATTAATTAAACTGATTTTTTATATATACTAAAAAATTTAAACAGTTTAAACTTATATTAACTTAAAATAAAAAGTTTAGTATTAAAAAACTTTGATTTTTATAAAAATGTAATTATTTTATAATATTATAACAGTATATTTATATATAAAATCTGTTAGTTTTTACTGCAAACATATAATATTAATATAAAATAAATAACTTTATATTGTCGGTTTTAAATATAAAATATAATATTTAAATAAAAACGAATAATTTAAACCAAAAGTTTTAATAAAGCAATTTAATACTGTTATTTTAAACTTGAACTAAATAATACAAAAATTTTAAAAAAGCTTAAAAAACAACGCTTTTAAATTAATTAAAATAAGTTTAAATAATATCGATATAAGCTAAAAATATATTAACAGAAAATATTAAATTAAATTATATATTTATAAACATAGTTTTACAAATTTTTTAACAAATAGTTGTTATTTTTTTATATAATATTACATTTATTATAACATAATTTATATTAATATATATAAAAAATAGTAATAATTAATTTTTTTTATAATGTTATATTTAAAATATTTAAAAAATATTATTTTTAAACATTAATAAAGCAACTATAAACAATTAAAAGTAATTATATTAGTTAAATAATATTAAGTTTAAACTATATATAATATATTAATAAATACTACAAGCTATAATATTAAAGTTTTAAAATATATAGTATAATTGATATATATTTGTGCTATATTGTTTAGTTTTATATTAAAATAATAGTTGTAACAAAAATTAT